GTGAGAGACCTTGCTTCCCCCGACAATACCAAATTGCTAGATCATAAATCCAATGCCGATAGGACCACACAATGATATAACCATGCTGGAAAACGAAAAATGACAGCTTCTTCTAAAAGGAGACAGGCAATTCCTATACAAATCCACAATTACACTCTCTGGCATTTCAAAGAGAGAAACGGAGACTTATTTTCACACCAAAATCTGTAAACAAATGTTTATACCAGTTTTATACCTAACAGCCCCAAACCAGAAATAGCCTACAACTCTGTCAGTGGGTAAACAAGCCGTGGTACGTCCCTACCACAGACTCCTCTCAGAAACAAGACCTGAAAAGGTGCAGTGGACACACACAACTTGGATCAGTGTCCAGGCAATTAAGTAGAAGCAAAAAGAGCCAGTCCCCAAAAGGCACATATAGTGTGTGATTATGCTTATGGAACACTTTTGAAGTGACAAGTTTATGGAGACAGAAGACAGATTCTGGCTACCAGCAGGCAGAGCAGTGGTGAGTCTGTAGCTGTGGACCTGAAAGACAACACAAGGGATCTCTATGGTGATGGAAATGTTCCGAATTTTCCTGTATCACTTTCAACAACCCGCGGTCACGTCCCAGAATTCTGCAAGACAGAGGAGACTGGATAATGGACACAGAGGATCTCTCTCCCTTACTTCCTATAGCCGCATGCAAATCTACAGTTGCCTAAAACTGCAAAGTTTAATGCGTAAAAATGAAATTCCACTTTTAAAAATCCAGGTACTAGAAAAATTGGGTGGAGATTCAATTAGCAGATGGGAGGAAAAGGCTGACCATCTAACACAGAATCACTTCCTAATAACATCCTCTAAAGACAAGACAGGAAAGTATCACAGAAACAGATGACGCGGTGCCAGTGTGTGGCCTGCAGCAGACCTGCCCAGCCCTTCATTAAAGTACAGGCCAAAGAACTGTCCCCTAGGAGGCCACTCCAAATGACAGAGAGCCTGTTCCATGTTCACTTTAACTGTTCCATCCCAGTTTCCCAAATATGGTCAGTAGGGTTTCTGGCCATGTAAGTTTGAGAATGACAGTATATTTCATCTCATTCTAAGAAATCTACTACGCACATGAGTGCCAAAGTCTCTGAGTCAAAGTCATCCAGTAAAGACACTGGCTGACCTTTGTTTAATGTTTGATTGCCAAACTTGTTTGACCATAAGACACTCTCCCCCTGAATATTCTACCATTTCTGGTTTCAATGGACCAGCACACACCTTAAGAATTTCAGGTTTCATCAGTTGCCTTCCATCTTGCTTTAAAGGTAACACAAACAGTTGGGCACTGAAATCATCTGTGCCACTGGGAACACAGAATGCAGAACCCTTTGGTTCCTTCTGCTTTCTCCTTTGTTGATCATGTACTAGGCACTGCACTGAGCAGTGTTAAAACCCATCCCAGTTAATCTACAAAGAAACCATCGACAGCACCAGACTGGGCTCCCTGTGCTACATAGCAACTTCTCACCTAACACACATTGTTAAAAAAAAAAAAAAAAAAAGTAATATTTAAATTTAAAAATAGAAAAAAAGAAACTATTTACAAATAGATACTTTTATAAGGCCTGTTTCATCAGAGGAAGGAACTGAGGCTGAACAATGTTATAAAGTGGCTGGGCTACGTGTGAACCAGGCGTGACTCAAGGTCCAAGGCCTTAACCACTGGGCCCTATGGCCTCCCAAGGGAGGGGAGGATAAAGTTCACGTGGTGGTCATTAGAAACAGGTGGTAGGAAGAGATATTTAAACAATCCCAATGGTTGGATGGCATCACTGACTCGATGGACATGGGTTTGGGTGGACTCCGGGAGTTGGTGATGAACAGGGAGGCCTGGTGTGCTGCAGTTCATGGAGTCTCAGAGAGTCAGACACGACTGAGTGACTGAACTGAAGTGAATTTTCACTCGACCCCAAGTTCAAGAAAAAGAATTCGCTTTAGGCTTGGCCATTTTCCACCCCGTACCTCTTGCTCCCACTGTACTTAATGTGCCTCTAACACACTAAGCTCTCTGGCTTCCAGGCATATTCTGCTTTCTTTGTCTAGAACCTGTCTCCACTCTCTCCGCTTAGTAACTCTTGTTCATCCATTGGGTGGTAGCTTACGTTTGCCTTCCTTCTGGAAGTCTTCCCCGACCCTCAGGCCTGGGTCAGGGGTTCCTTCCATGTGCTTTCAGACATCCTGCTCATAGCACATCTCAGAGTATTGCCTGCTGAGATGTTTACCTCCCCACCAAAACTCTGAGCTCTGAATCCCATGAAGTCAGAGTCGACGTCAATCTTGTACATACCATGTGTCTGGCTCATGCTCAGCAAGTATGGAACCAAGCAATGAATAATGTATCAACCAACCAAATCCACACAGGGAGCTCTAATCCTTCTAAGTCCAAATCTTTGTGAAAGTTTGCAACCGCCGAACAACAAGCTGAAGGACTGTTTGTTTCGGTTTCTTAGTATAATGGGGAAATGGATCAGACAGAACTGGGTTCAACTCCCGACTCTGTCATTCATTAGCAGGATGACCTGAAACGAGTTCCTGTAGCTTTTCCAAATTCAGTTTCTGCCAATGCACGTGTAAGTAGGGCCCACCTCAGAGGGCTACTGTGGGAGCAAATAAGGCAATGCATAACTAAGTGTTCAACAGAGCACATCATAGAAATGTCAGCTATCATGACCATGAGAAGGAGGAGGATGAAAATAAACTCTCTATGAAAAATAGGCTGGAAATAGCATAAAGTCTCTAAATGTAAAAACAAGGAACCAAGTCACTCTCAGCTTTACAAGAAGGAAGGGCACTAAGAGGAGGCAGGCACTGGGGAAAGAAATGAGAAATAAAAATCAAGAAATGCTAAGTCAAGCCAATTCACGTAGGCCCTATTTTATTGGACTGACAGCCAAGAGAAAGTCAGAAATACAAATTATAAGGGGATTCCCCCAATGTTTTAAGTAACTGAATTTCTCTAAATTCAGAAAATCAACAACTTAAGGTGAATTCGTAGACCATCTTGCTCACACCTGAAGCTTGTCAAACCTTGAATACATCAATGAACAATTCTTGCCCCTGCAAGTAAGGAATAGCTAAAACATGTTTACCCTAAGCTACTAGAAACTGCTTAGATTCCAGATTTGGAGAGATAAATGCTTAAATTCAAATACATTTGTAATTTGATTAAAACCTTAATCAACTCCAGCTAATGTTAAGATGAACTCCACCCACCCCAAAAAAAATCTTAACAGTAATTACAAATCATAACTAATTTTTAAGGGTGCTAACATTATTTTGACATTTAAACTTGTCTTTGCAAATTTTACTCAGGACATGGGTTTCTTATGCTTATGAATAGTGTCCATACCAACTAGTACCACATACCATGTTAGACTGTTGCAGGAAACAATACTTGATATTTAAATTGTAAAAAGGTGAACCCATCTTATGAAGTAAACATGTAAAACAACAAGTGGCAGGAACAAAATTTCTTCTCTCTACCCTACCACTGCCAAAACATACCTGTACCCTTTGGCTGAACAATATTAAGTAAAACATACCTTAAGGAAATTTACTCTTTATCAAAACTGAAGCAGAATGATGATACCAATCACTTCTGCTATTGATAACCATAATTATACGGTCTGGGTAAACACATTCTGTTGCAGGGCAAAAGTCACTCCATCAAGTTTTTCCACTTCAATTTCTCTGCCATCCTGACTTGTATACAGAGAAATAGAACTCATCCATCAATAGCATAATCCTTCCATCTACAGGGGAAGGCAGTCAGATGTTTTAAAAGATTCTTAAGACAGCTGCTATGGGAAAGATATTTCAAATTCTGTGGCAACTTCAACTGAAGAAACAGAATATTAAGAATATTCTTTTAATGACACATGCTTGAGGTTTTAAAATACTCCAGAAGTGGGAAGGGGGGAAAACTGGGAGTAGGATAAAACAATATTCTTGAAATACTGAAAACTGTCGAAGCTGGATGAAAAGGATACAAAGTTCAATATACTATTCTCTACTTTTGCATATGTTTGACAATTTCTAATGATAGAAAGATAAACAAGAGTAAACAGAATATTCTAACAAAAACACAAACAAGGTGTATTTACCTAAGCTTAAGGTTTGCCACAATTTCAACACAGAAACCAATAAAACATCACAGAAGACTTTCCACCTCTCTAAAGGTACAACTCAGCGCTGTACCTAACAATACCTATCGCTGTACCTAGGCGCTGACCACTCCCTAACAATCCTGTGTTCGACAAGGACTGATCACTCAAGCCCCCCAGCAACTCCTCTCCCAAGTTGGAGTGAGCCCCCCAAGTTCCATCAGAACCAGCAGACATACTAAATACCTAAGACACTGGACTAGTGATACTCGCATGTTGGCTGAGGGTTCATCTTAGCTACATTTCATCCAGTCAAAGTGCCATGGGCCTTAGCAGTTGCAAACCTGCTCAATTACCATTTATCAGAGCCCTCAAGGACTCAAAGCACTGAAACCAGGGCAAAGATCAAGCTGGCACTCTGCTCCCCAAACCAATGGATGCAGATATTGCATGGATATGGATATAACATTTGAGAAAATTTAATAATTAAACTGACTTGAGATGAATTTTTTAAAAACGCCTTCAAAGTCCTCCAGATCAGATACTCAGCCACAGCAAAAGCAAAAAGCAAGCTCCCTTTAACATCCAACTTTCAACAAACAACCTGAAAATGGTCTCTAGGAGATGACTGAGAGGAGGGTGACTTTTACAACTTTAAGAAAGATAATATATTTTAAAATTTCAGTCCCTAAAATTTAACTTTCAGTGGGCAAATATTCCAGCTCACCTAGGAGAAAATGGGCATCAGAACGTTTGAACAAAATATAAAACATAGCATGAGCACTGCATGAAAATTAGGCAATCAGAACAGTAGAGGGCATAACATTTTCACTTCCAGACTTTAAAGAAGTTAATACTTACCAGCACTCTGTTTTCAACTTTGTCTCCCTTCACTTCCAGCTTTACTTTCTTCTTCAATGCAATCTTTATCTTTCTTCCAAGAACATCCTTTATGCTTTCTGAAAGAAAGGAATAGTTTCATTAGATTCTTTTATTAGTAAGAGAAAAGCATCGGGGAGGATAGAACATTTGAAGGAGCATTTTTGGTTTGGCTTTTTTTTTTTTTTTGCTTATTTTAACAAGCTTGATAGTAATCAATCACCAAGTATTTAATGAATGCCTACTTTGGGTCTTGGACTGTGTGCTCAGATGCTGAGGCAAATATAAAAGCATCTGATACAATACCAGTCTACGCAAGCAAGGCATGACATAACCTTGCTGGGCAAAGAGGATACTCACACACCAGGGAGAAAAAGAAGAGCAATGTCAAGTGGTAGCATAGAGCACTATATTGTGAGTAGACCATAAGCACAAGGATTCTCTTTTGCCTGGTTATCTGCAGCACCCAGCTTGAAAAGCCGAATGCTAGCAGGACCTTCCTTGAGTACCCCCAAACTGAACAGGTCCCAAATCAAAGTCACTTTGATTTGATTTTCCCTGCTCCTCTTCCGGCCCTTCTTGAAGCTAGAAATCTTCTTTATCTCCAACTCCGTTCTCTCAGGGGCTTCCCCCATGGTGCAGTGGTAAAGAATCCGCCTGCCAGTGCAGGAGACACAAGAGACACGGTTCAATTTCTAGGTTGGGGAGATCACGACTGAGCACGCACACCGTTCTCTCAACGAGTCAGTCACCTATTCTCCCAGGACCACCTCCGAAACAGTTCCTGAGCACTCTCTTCACTCGGTATTCAGGGCCTCAGCATCTCTCACCGAGACTAGCCCAACACCTCTAACCGATCAGCCCCCAGAACCAAAGTGGCCCTTCCAAAGCCACAGATCTAATCTTGTCCCTTGTGCGGGGACTATGACTCACAGTCATTTTTGGATGAATCCAAACCTTCCAGCACGCCACAAAAGGCCTTTCACGTTTTCCCAGCTTAACTTCTCAGCACGCACTTTCCCTTTTCTCCTCCTGGTTAGATTCTACAAAGCACAGCAAATTTCTTTATAACCCCATCACTCTGAGCTGTCTATTATAATGATTTTGATTTATTCATACATTCAACAAACATACCTAGTGGGCCAACTACTCTGTTAGGTGCTGGACTAGAGATGACCCCTGCCTTCCACAGGTGCTTACAAGCTAGTGGAGGGCAAGGATCAATGTCACTAGACGAATGTGCACCCACTACCATGAGATCGTGGACAAGACAACACACAGAGGTTTCGGGGTGTAGGGGACCCCTGACCTGAATCTTGAAGAAGTAGGAAACAGACCACCGGTTTCCAAAGCAGTGTACAACACAACCCACTGGGGTGCAGGAAGAAAACAGTAGCATTTTTACTTTTATTTACACTGTTTCAGTGTTATGTTCTAGATTACACATACTCAATGAAATATGCATGCAACTTAACAAGTATATTCATGTATTTATTAAGGGATGATCAAAATATTCTTCTTAGAAACCCACCACAATGAGTTTAAGAGCCACTCAGATAAGAAGAGTGAAGGAGGGGAGGACGGGACACTGTCAGCAGAGAGAAGAGCATGAGAACATGAGAAAGTACAGTTTGTCCAGGGAAGAGCAATGAGGTAGAATGTTGGAAGGGGGAGGGAACAAGTGGAGGACCTCACTGCCTGGGGAGTTCTGTAGGCAGCTCCTATCTTATCAGCACTCAAAACGGGTACAGGCTACTCGTCTCTCCCCTACAGAAGAACTGTGGGAAAGGAGCATGTGAAATTGACTTAAAATATACGCAAAGAAAAAGACAGGAAAAGTTATATAGTCATAGGTTAGAAATAGCTATCTTGGAGTGGTAACATGAGTGACATATTCTCATTCTTCTCTGAAACTTTTAAATAAAAAGCCTGCATTTCTTTAATAATCAGAAAGATAGACATTTTTTAAATGTTTTGGGGGATTACCTTAAGGAAATATATTGAGGTTTTCACAAGGTTGCCATTTTGAATTGATGAGAAGAGAACCCCTGTGAGTACTGAAATAAGAGACTAAAGCAGACACAGGAATTTCCCCTCACCCAGGCTAATTAGACCACTTAAAAACCCAGAAGAATATTGGGCCTATAACAAAAACCTGTACCCCTTGTTTGAGAGACATGTAAGATGGGCAGAGCTCGATAAACACAAAAACTCCATCTCTAGATAAGGGTTAAATTCAGCTTTTAAAATATACAAAGAATTCATTTTGAGGACCATCAATAGAAAACCATCCTATCCTTCATCACTCTTTATCTTATGTCTAATTACCTAAACCTAAAGTTTAACTGCAGCTTCCCTGGTGACTCAGAGGTAAAGAATCCACCTGTAATGTAGGAGACCGGAGCTCAATATCTGGGTCAAGAAGATCCCCTGGAGAAGGAAATGGCAACCGACTCCAGTATTCTTGCTTAGAAGATCCCATGGACAGAGGAGCCTGAAGATCCCATGGACAGAGGAGCCTAGCGGGCTACAGTCCATGGGGCCTCAAAGAGTCAGACGTGACTGTGCGACTAAACAGCAATAACAAAGTTTAATTACCTAAACTTTTCATCACCATGTTCAAGGATACCCAATTTTAAAAATGTATCTGCCACCTGCTTTAGTTATCCTTATCCCCTGGCCAGCGATGCAAACCCTCCCTTAAATTCTCTTTCTCAGGACCTCTGGAGGCATCTTCAGAAGTTCTGGGCATGTGTTTCCTCTTCTGTGTAGGGTTTTGCCAAGATCTCCTGCTCTCAGAACTGGATGGACCATTCATTCCCAGTGGACTCTACAGGACTGAGGAGCGGGAGGAGGAAAGGCCTTTATACCCTAAATATAGTCAAGAGTTTGGGTTTTTTTTTTTTTAATTCAACAAAACCAGAAGCTTCCATCTTCCATATTAGCCTAGCAACAGCTTCTTTACATCAAATTTCACCTGCTTGAGTTAACAGTCGCTAATGGAAGAACACACACAAACTCCTCCAAAGTATTACCTCTAAAAGGTGAAAGAGAGGGGCAGATTCCTCAAATGCAGATACATGGGCGGTTAGAACTCTTGTCAGCACCCATTAACTATCACCTTTCTGAGTTGTAGGCTGTGTAATGTGCCAAGGATGATACAGTAAGGAAACAGGTCACTGGGGCTCAACACACACATGCACACAGCAACACATACCTTGTTACAGAACATGCTACACACACACAAACACACGCAGGCACACACAAGCTTCAGCGCTTGGTTTTCAGAATACTCTTTTCCCCAAGCCTCATTTTAAGCCCTGCCATGTTAACCCTCTACATAATTAAGGTAAACCCCAGGACAAAATATTCACACACACACATCCCCCCCCAAAACCCTCAAGGGACTCAAACAATGGGTCACCTTGCATAGCGTACCACATACAGGTTCCCTAAGAGATCCGGGATGGGGAGAATTGGCAGGTTAATCATTACTGAAGTAAGGCTTTTATCATTAACCCTCAGTTTCCTGGCGCAAGTTTGCGTCAGTCCTGTAACCCTTTCGCTCCCGGTTCGCGATGCGAAACCACGCCTTGCCAGGCTCAGTCAGTATACCCGACCAGTGCCCCCTCCCCCTAGCCCTACGTCACAAGGGCACCTCTGGCCGAGAGTTTTCTGGGGACCGGGGGTGGGCGAGGGATGTGGAGTTCCTGGCCCGTGCCGGAGGCGACCTACTGTGCGCTCGCCAGCCGTTCGTGTCCTGGGCTTTCCGGGACTTCCCGAGTTGGGGACGCGGGACCGGCCCCTGTAGAGGATTCTTCTCGCTTGCAGGACCCCCCAGACCCAGGCAGCCCGCCCCCTTCTTCCGCCAACCTGGACCCCGGGTCACCGCGGTCGGAGGCGCTGGGGGCCGCCAGCAAAGCAGCGGCAAGCGCTCCCGGGGCTCCCGATTCCTCCCAAGCCGGCCCTCTCGGGACTCAGCTTTTCTAGTGGTCAGACAGGAGCAAACTTCCCGGAGCCCCCCAGCGACCCTGCCCGACACCCCTCCGACCCCAGGGGCGCGGGGACGTGCGGGAGGGGAGAGGTGGGATGGGAGGTGGAGGCGAGGGGGCCACAGAGGCGGAAAGAAAATCAACCACCGCGCAACTCTTACCTATCAACTCCCCGGGCACCTCGGAGCTCTCCTCGGCCATGGTCCTCTAGGTGCGGGGAATGTTGCAGGTCCAACTCTGATTTACGGCCCCCACCCTCCCCCGACTCCCTCAATTTCCTAGAGGCAGATGCAGCTCGCAAACGCGAGAAGGTGTGAAGCCGGGCGTGGGGGGGCGGGGGTGGGACGGAGATAGAATTTGGCCGCGTCCCCCGCCACACCAAAGGGAAAAAAAAAAGAAAAAGAGTTGCAAATCCGAGGTGGGTTTGCGGCTGCTGCTACATGACGCCTCCTTGCAGTTCCCGGCGGCGGAACGGAGACCCGGCGGGGTTGGGAGCGGGGTGAGCGGGCTGCTGCGGGGCTGGCCCCGGCTCGCGGCTCCCGGCTCCGGCCGCTGGCAGCTCCCGCCCGCTCCCGGCGCCGCACCTACGGCCCTAGGTGAAGGCGGAAGGCGTGGGGAGAGGCGGGGAGAGCGGCGCGGGGCGGGGGGCCAGGGTGTCCTCGCGCTCCAGCCGGGCTCCAGCGGGGCGGGGGCAGCTCCGGCGCGGCTCCTCCTCCCTCCTCTGCCTCCTCCTCCTTCTCCTCCTCCAGCGTTTCCTCCTCACCTCGCGAGACCCGGCCTCCGCACGCGTCCCAGGCCGGCCTCCCAAGCCCGGGGGCGCGTTCACCGGCGCTGGCCGCAGAGCCGGGCAGCGCGAGGCTGCGGCGGCGGGCACCGGGGGCTCCTCGCGGCCTCCCTCCCGAGCCGCCGAAGCCCTGCGTCTGCAGAAGGGGCGAGGGAGCCTGAGAGCCATCTGCTGGCCGCTGGGGAGGACGGCCGGGTGGACCTGGGCAGTCCGATTCCCCGTCCCCACCTCCCGGCGAGCCGAGGACGCCAGGGGATGGGAGGCTGCAGACCCCGCGCACGTTCCGCAGGCCGGTCTGCGCGGAAACCCGGTCTTTCTGGGACCCCTCTGCGCTCTTTCCTTTTTTAGCCCTCCCTGTGACAGGCTGGCGTTTCCTCGACGTTATTAATTTTCCATTTCTGGGGAGTAGGAGCTAGACGAAACCTGTAAACACGAACCATATGGTGAGAAAACACTTTTGTGTGTGCTCAGCGGGCGCGCCGCCGCCGCCGTTTGCCATCCCAGACATTCGAAGTCGGAGAGCGCACGCAAAAAAAAAAAAAAAAAAGCCTTTCACTCGCGCTGGAACCTCCTTTTAAAAAGCCAGGGCATTTTCGGGCAGCTGAGAGTAATTCACAAAAGCCAGAATGAACCTGCTGATTGGTCTGATCAACCTAGCCGACTTTCCCTGGGCTCCACCCCCGGAGAGACAACTTCAGGGCAAGAAGCTTTGCAGCGCCTGGATTGCTGCCTTAGTGGCTGGTCGGCTGGGAGTGAATGCCTATCATCGGGTTCTGTTTTTAAAGGACAGAAGGAGGGGAGGGAGGAAGAAAGGGAACCCCACGCAGTGATAGTCTAGTTTTAAACACTGCTGTCGACCTTGGATCCCCCAAAATCATCTTAAGCCTGTCTGCCAGGAGTTACCAATGAAGACATTCACCCGTCTGGCCCCTTCTCACCCTTCTAACCTCTCCAGCTCCTCACTCTTACAACCTGACTCTCCAAAACTATTAATAATTGCTGTTTGCTTTCCCCTTCCTTTTTAGGTTATCTGATTCTTATCTAGTGTTTTCCTGGTGGCTCAGACGGTAAAGAATCCGCCTGCAATGCAGGAGACCTTATCTATGTTTTCAATTCCAGCCCAATGTGTACCTTCTTTGTGAAGCTTTTCCAGGGCTTTTCAGATCACTGTGACCCCTCTATTCAAAACCACTAGAATATGTTATTGGCTGAAACATTATTTTCCAAGCCCAAACACACAGCGCCTTGTTTCATTACTTGTGTATTTGTCTAGCTTTACTACTTTAACTCCAGCATTGTTCCCTGAGTTTGAGTTTGTCTGCCCAACTAGACTGTAGGAGATTTAAGGGTGGGAATTTCAGATTTTTGAACCGTCTCAGCAGACCTGTGTGAAATAAACATTCGTTGACTGACTGGTTTTAGAGCTTTGGTCCTGACTCCCAACTGTTTCTCAAATGCTGGCGAGTTAAGCTAGACCTGTACTTTACACAGTTAATATCTTTTTATGCAATAAATGGAAATTAACATCTCAAAACCATCTTCCATTCAACCGAGTGTGTTTAGAAGGATTTTTCTGGCACTTACCAGGAAGTTTCAGAAATAGCCCTGAAGGTTCCACACCATGTGGTATCTGAAAATAAAGACAAAACTTTTTCCCCGTTTGGCCTGGGGTGGTGGGGAGAGTAAAGGACGGGCTACATGGAATTTCGGTAATTCAGTGCTCCTTGGTGCCTTTTAAAGGCAGCTGAGGTTTCAATAAAGAATCAGGTTTTTTCACTGGAATAAGATCCTGATTAACTCCTACACCTCCTACGTTGAAGGCATGGAGTCAAATCAATCTGCTATCTCAGTACCCAAAAATGACTGACTGTGGAAGCGAAAATCATTTACTTCTTAGGAGCAAAACTCAAATATGTTTCAGAATAGCAAACAAAGAACTCCACAGAGCACTGTTTATAAAATCCACCAAGTAGTAAATGTCCCCAGCAAACAACAACCAGGGAGTCAACTTAGAGAATGCATTTTGAAATCTGAAATGTGTGTTTATTGACTGAAATCTGCCCACCCCTCCAGTGCTGCAGACTTTCCTCACACCCCTGCCCTCCACCTTCCATACTTTTAAGTTTACCCCTGCCACTGTGGTCTTGATCAAGAGAGTGGTTAAACTCCCTGAAACTAATTGCCATTATAAACATAATTACCTACAGCTTTATCTGTATATGTGGCTGTGTTTAAGTGTTATAACCAGCACTGATGAACTGAAATCTATTAGTCAGAAAGAAAGCTTTTCTGAAAAACCAACTTTTCAGAGAATCTCTACTGCAATTGTTGAACACAATTGCAATAATTTAGGAACACAATTATTTTGGAAAACTATTCATACTTTTAGTTCCAAAATATTCATTCATAGCTGTAGTATATTTTGCAGTGTACTGTGGTGAGAAAATACACTATTGATGTCTATGATAGTCTAACATACTATCATTAGAACTATATCATATGAGGAATAAATTCACAGAGACAAAACGAAAAAATAAGAAATCAGCAAGCTAACAACAGCAACAAAAACTCCACTATTTACCCATATAAATTTCTGATCTTCCTTACTGCCTTGAGAACTGGTTCTAACACTGGAAGAGATTCAGTTATGTGGGAATCAATGACATCACTACACCAACCAAGCAGTCACTTGCAGACCAACTTCCCACCTTAGCAACTACGATTTGTTTGGGGTCTCCTTAATGAGGTATGTGTTTCTCAACTGGGTTAATTAGACCTTCGGGGAAACTACACAATGAAAATACTAGCAAACACCTCAAGGAAAAATTAGTTTATTTTTGAGTAGAAGACAATGAGAGGTAAATTTCTATTGGACTATATATTCCTTTAACACATTTACAAGTGATGTAATATATTTGCTTGAAAAGTAATCCATGGGAGAGGGGGGTGTTTGTGAAGTGGGGTGGGGTACTGAGGAGGACCTTGTATTGATTTTGTTGTAGCTAGATAATGGAGTACCTGGGAATTCACTGCTCTAACTTTCATGTGTGTGTTGAAATTTTTAATTATCATCACAATCAGAGCAAATCCTTGCAGATATGACCAAGAGAGAAGGAAGACAGTTAACTCAGTCATTAATGCAGAAAATATCTGAGTGTGCTATCAACAGAACGCATAGCACAACAGCTTCCCATAAATCAGACCACTTGAACAGAGCACTTCAACAGACACCATAGAGCTGTGTTTCAAAGAAGCAATTTTTTCATTTTAATGATAATGAAATCAGAATGCATTTTATAATTGTTACAGACAATTACAGCATGCTTCTCACATCCCACCCACAACACAAATACAAAATCTGCTACGGAATCACTGGTACATCTACCAGTTGACAACCTCTGACAAGTGAGGAAATAAGAGCTTAGCTCTTATTTGACCTTCCAATGACCCCTTGGGTTAGAAAGTGTAATTACTATATCTTTATAACAATGAGGACATAAATTCAGATTTGCGGGGTGACTTGCTCTAAGTTGCATAGCTACTAATAGCCAAAGGGTGAACCTAGAATTGAGATCTCCAGGTCAAAGTTCACCCTACTACTGACACTTCACCAGCCCCTTGGTCTGTGTTCCATGTAAAGTGTGAAGAAGGCCAAGGTTGGGCCCCACTCACCCACAGGAGCTCCACCTGCAGGAGGAAGATTCAGGTGATCTTTGATTGCCCTGCAACTAGTCGAGTGCCATGCAGTAAGTGGTGAGCTAGTTGAATCTAAGTGAAAATAAAAAATAATAACGAATACAAAATATGCTAGGTAGGTGCCAAATGACGTGTTCAATAAGTGCTAGAGAAATTCATAGAGGTGGTGGGGAGGGAGCAAGAGGAGGAGAGTTGCCTTTATAACATCACTCAACAAACGTGAGTGGTGCTCAGTGCCCTCAGCCCAACTCTTTGTGACCCGTGGACAGATTCTTTATCCGCTGAGCCAGCAAGGAAGCCGCAGTGTGAGCGGAGCACTTACTATTTGCCAGAGGATATAATGGTGAATGGGCTTCCCTGGTAGCTCAGGTGGTGAAGAATCTGCCTGCAATGCAGGAGACCCCAGTTCGATTCCTGGGATAGGCTACCCACTCCAGTATTCTTGGGCTTCCCTGGTGGCTCCCATGGTTTAAAAAAAAAAAAATCCGCTACAATGCAAGAGGCCTGTGTTTGATCCTGGGTTGAGAAGATCCCATGGAGGAGGGCATGGCTACCCACTCCAGTACTCTTGCCTGGATAATTCCATGGACAGAGGGGCCTGGCAGGCTACAGTCCATAGGGTCACACAGAGTCGGACATGGCTGAAGCAACTAAACAGCAGCCTAATGGTGAATTAAACAGATGCTTCATGGAACCTCAAGAAACTGTCAGGGCAGGGCATAGGAGGAGAGGGAGAAAGAGAGACAGGCAATTGCTGTCAGTGCTGAGGTGAGAAAAAACAGAATTATGGGAATGAGAGTGCAGGGGGTGGGCAGAGGAAAGAAAGGGAGTGAAAATGTTCCACGTTGCAGGAACAGCATGTGTACAGGCCAGAAGATAAGATAAAAACATGGAGACACAGAAATAAATTCAGAGGGTTTTGATGAATAGAGAAGGAATAGGAATAGAAGATCAGAGAAAAGGATTGTACTACCTAGGACCTCATGAACCACTAAAGGAGCCTGAATTGATCTGAG